AGTTCTTTATATTTCTACCTGCACATTCTGCCTGATGAAGTATATTTAAAATTGTTTTTCTCTTTAAGAAGACTTTATTGGCTGGGTGCGGTGGGTCACGCCTGTAATCCCAGCTCTTTGGGAGGCCACGAGGCTTGCTTGAGTCCAGCAGTTTGAGCCCAGCTGGACAACAGAGCAAGACTCTGTCTTTGCAACAACAAAGGCTTTGTTATGGAACACTGCAAATATATACCAGAGTGTCTAGTGAAGAATTAGTGCATCCCAGCTGTGACCATGACAAAACTCATGGCAGGTCTTGCTCTTCCTATAAACGACACTCTTTCTTCATCCAACCCCGTACTGGATTTTTTGGAAGCAAATCCCAGACACCATCGCACTTTATTTGTAAACACTTCATTATGCGTCCCTTAAAAATAAACACTCAAAACATGACCAAGTCCATCTGGTAATCCCTCGATAGCATCAAATATCTGGTCAACGTGCAGATGTCCTGACTATTCTACAATCCATGTGGTTTGTTTGAATCTAGATCCAAACAATGCCTACCCTTGCATTTGGTTAAGTTTCTTTCCTTTCTTGATTAAGTTTCCTTTAGATTTCTGTTGCTTTTCTTTTCCTTGCTGTTGATTTGGTTGAAGACTTTTTAAATATATTAGAACTGCCCGGCTGGTGTCATTCACTGTGTTCCTCTAACCCTTTTATTTCTTGTAAACTAATATCAGGTACAGATATTGCATTTTACAAAGTCCCGCACAAGGTCCGCACATGGAAACGGGATAACTGGAGCCTGCACTGTGGGTGACTCAGCTTTGTGTGTGACGCCCTTGCCCTCTGTCTCCCCTCCCCCTACAAAGACTTTTTTGGCTGTGTACGGTGGTTCAGGTTATGGACACTCCCAGGCTTGTGGAGAAACAGAACTGTGTTCTGATGACCCCCACCCCTCCCAGGGGGAGGTTCTAATCTTGCCTGTCTTTGGGGGCTGTTTCATGACCTCCCGCCTTCTGTCTCCCGTGTGCTCTTCTCTGCCAAGCTGCTGAGCCTTTGCAGTTCAGGATCCACACTCAGGAAAGCCCCTCCTGGAAGGTGCCCACCGGCCATGGGGCGGGACTGTTGTCTAGTATTCTGAAGTCCCGTAGACAGGCCTAGGTGGGCAGGTATGAAGGTGTGGTGCCGTCGTGTTTGTGTGGTGGGTGAAGTGTCTCGTGCCCGTCTCTTTCCAGCCTGGAGGGCAGTATGAGCTCTTCGCTGTGGTTGCGCACGTGGGAATGGCGGACTCCGGTCATTACTGTGCCTACATCCGGAATGCTGTGGACGGAAAATCGTTCTGCTTCAATGACTCCAATATTTGCTCGGTGAGAAACGTCATCCACAATCGCCTCCTGCCCACCTCCTGTTAGAGGTTGGGCCACCTC